AACGAGATACCAAAGGCTACCATAGACACATATTCCACTAATTATTTGATGTATAGTTAAATTTTTCAATTCTTTATTTACACTCAGACACAAAATATGTGTTACATGAGGACAGATTACAAATCAAATGCAATAAATGACAGAATTAATTATCTCTTGACAGTTATTTTATTCACTCTGCACAAATGCAATTGCATTTCAAATAATAAGACAAATCAAGTTAATGTGTATGAAATATTTAAACAAGAATATAAATACAGATATTATCTGATGGAATATAGAAATAAAACAATAAGTCAGATGCTTAAAAAATATTCAAAAATATATGTAATTGAAATGTATGAATGATGTCTCAGTAGATAAAGGTCATTGAAGTCAAAATACCTTTGCTAGACTTTATATTGTTGTTGTTGGTTTTCTACTTTTTCTATGTATAAACAAACAAAACAAGACACTTTATTCATTATACTTTGAAGCTAAAATGAACATAATTCATCACTGTTTTACACTAAGTATCCTCAAGTAATTTTGTGTGTGTTGGTATCAAATCACATGTTGACATTTTTTTTTTTTTTTTATTTCTACTATACTTCCTGATATTTTTAAAACACTTAAATTCTATATACATTTGTTACTAATGAATAATATATAATACTTACCAAACTAGTTTAATCTAATCCAACAATTTGTTAACTACAAACATGTGCTTTTTTTGGCACTAGTTTTCGGACAATGAATTAGTAAACAGGTTAACTAATCCAGCACAAAAGGTCAAGTACAAAATAACTGTCAATGAATGATTATAAATATGGGAAAATGAATACAATTTCGGAAAGCAAATAGATGTTCCGTAAACACGTGATTTATACCACGGATTTCTATACTTTATATGTATACACTGTATTTTAAAGAATGTATATGTAATACTTTTAATAATTGATTACTTTTTTTTTTACTGAACTTTTTCCCTGGAAATTCAGTAACTAATAACAGGGATACTCGGGCTAACGCTGTAATCCGAGTAAATTGTTAAAACAGCAGATATGTAATAAAAGATATTTACTTTCAAAAAAAAAAAAAAAATTAAAATTAAAAAAAATGACAGAATAGACAGGAAACTAATAACAAAAGTGTACTTTCTAAAGATCATAAAACTTGAAAGATACATGCATCTTTCTAAATGAAGGTAGATAGTTTCTTGATAAATATAGCTAAATTATGCAATAGCTAACAGTTACACAATGACAGCATCTTTTGCATTTTCAGTACAGATGGATATGTTGTATACTATTTCGGTATATATTTCTTCCGAATATCAGTAATAGTACTATTATTACATACATATAGATAATGATATTCATCACCAATACATTCATTACATAAGGTACATATGCGATTGGTTCTAACGATCTTGTACCATCTGCCAGTTTCCATAGAAATTTTGAGAATGCATGTTCTCAATTTTGAAATCCAGATTCTCTTATCCTCTGGAAGACGTAATAAATAATTTTCAAGACCAAACTGAGTTTTAAATAACTTATAACATTCGCCACGAGACGAGTTATCGATATTACTGAACCACTTTTGAAGAAACTGATCTTGAATGATCTGTTTTATAACAGGTTTGATAGTTGAATAATCAAAGTATTGGTTGAAAAACATATTATCTAATCCTGATTTGTCAAATATAGATTTTACAAATGACAACCATTTAAATTCACAAATACCATCAGTATGTTATTTGAAAATAAGCTTATACATAGATCTAAAAAGTTTTTTTTTTTAATTTTTAGCCATTCTACTCCAAAACGATAACTTTCTTAATTTTACTTTAATTTCTAGTGGAAACCTTCCTAATTCTCCATATACCATAACATTTGGAGTACTTGATCTCACATTAAATTTCTCTTGCAAAATTGCAGATGAACTTTTTCAATTATATCAATGTGACCGAGCAATGTTTAGTTCGTGTAACACGATACAATGACAATCTAATTAACAGATTAAAATGAAATGTTTATTTAGACTAACGATCCAATTATCACCTAATATCAATCATTCTTGTCAATATTCAAGGTGTGAATTATACTGCCGGCACACGTTCATGTAATTCAAACATTCCAATTCGACGAACATGCACGCGTCATTAGATTACACGTTTCTGTGCAAATAATACTTTCCACAGACACTCCTGTTTTCTCGTTAGGTCCAGGACTCATCATCAATGAGGCAAGTGTTATTTAAATATATTTAAAGTCATTCTTTCTCTTTAATATAATTATATTTTAAACAAAACCAAATTCAAATATTAGGTTCAGTTTATTTAAATACATCACTCGTATGGTCTAAGTCTTGTCCGTTCAGGTCTTTTTATTTCCCCGGCAAGGTCTAATTTTTTTCAACTAAACAAATAATTTTTTATAAATTTTTTTATCATTTTAATGAAATATTATACCTTTTCTATAACAAAATTCAAATTTTAAGGAGATTGATTGAAAATTTAAACAGTTATAGAACTTGAATAAATCTGACCGCAGATTTTCTGGTCAATTCAGGGAATTTAATTTTCCGTTTAGATCCGAGTTTTTACGTCGAAACAATTTTTTTCATAGTTTGTCTTTAAACATTATCAATATATGGAATTACTCCTTTCACAAAATCTAAATTTCAAGGAAATCCATTGAAAAAAAAAAATAGTAATTGAAGTTTGAATAAGTCTGATCGTAGAATTTTAGTTCCGATCATGTCTTTTCGTTTCTCCGTTCAGGTCCAAATTTTGGCATAAAAAAAATGTTTTTTTTTATTTAAAACATTTTATTTTTGATAAAATTTGGATCTCAACATTTAATACAATTATAACTTGAAGAATATCCTTTGAAAAATAAAAAAAGTAATCTTATTTCTAATAAATCGAGTAGTATATCTTCAGGTCTATTCAGGTCTTTTCATGTCAACTTTCAGGTCTTTAGTGTAACCCACAAAAACAGGCAGCAGAATAGAGTAGCTGATGACATGTCAAAATCGATTTCAGGCTAACCATAAGTATTTATGCCTAGGCATCAATCATTTATGCATAGCCTTAAATGGATTTATGCCTAGGCATCAATCAATTTATGCTTAGGCATGAATATTTATGCCAAGGCATAAATAAGTATTTATGACGCACATACCACGTCATAGATAGCTACAGATTTCAGACGGGTTTATAGTTATTTAAGAGAAGCAGACCTGAATCAGTTATGACGTAGACAGTAATCATTCTGATCGTAATCATGGTCATTGGCCATAGCAACGACGAAAGCACATCATATAAGGACGTTGTGACATCATATAATGAAATAAACCGAACCACATCATATAATGTTACAAGCACATAATATAATGACTCAACCACATCATATAAAGGTGTTTGCACATAATATAAGGGAAAATGCACATCATATAAAGATACTTGCACATCATGTAAGTATATTTGCACATCATATAAGTATATTTGCACATCATATAAGTATATTTACACATCATATAAGGATATTTCAACATAATATAAGTACATTTGCACATCCTATAAGTATATTTGCACATCATATACGATATTTGCACATCATATAAGTATGATGCACATTATACAAGTATATTTGCACATCATATAAGTGTATCTGCACATTATATATGTATATTTGCACATCACATACTGATGGTTGCACATCATTTATGGATGTTTGCACATCATATAAGGATATTTGCACATCATATAAAGTTGTTTGAACTTCATATAATGACAAGTGCACATCGTATAAAGATAAATGCACATCATATAATGAAAATGGTCATAACAAGATAGTTTTGGCGTTCCATAGTCTCTGTTAGATTTATTTGTATGTTTGTGTTTTATTGTTTAGTCAGTTGTATTGTATCATGTGTATGTTAGCTATTTGTGTTTACAGTTTTGACTGAAGAATCCCAATTATTTTCACATTAACCTAGTATGTCTTTGTAGTTCACCTAATTTTGTCAAGAAAACGGAACTTTAAACAAATGTTATACAAGTGGGCAATTTGAGCTAGCTAATAAACCAGTTTTAACCTACCATTTACTTCGGAATATACCTATACAAAGTCCAGATTTTGACAGTTGTTTTTCACTCGTACTGTTGGTTAATATCGTTTGATTTTGTCAGTTTATATAGACTTCTCCGTTTTAAATTTACTTTGGAGTTCTGTGTTTCTGTTATACCTTTTTTAACAGTTGCATCATTTTTATAATCAATTTTCATACTAGAAGAGCTAGTTATAATCAGTTTTCACGAAATCTATTGATTTGATAATTATATCAAAACGTAATGCTGTTACAGTTAGTCATTGACTCTATATGGTCATGTTTATGACATTGACGATGCGTTTCATTTACAGGTATGACATCATTACAGAATACAGGTTTTCAGAAATTTTTACTTGGTCGGCTTCAAATTCAGAAATGATGATTTCTACCACAAATATTTACAGCTGTATTTTTGTAATAGTTGCTGTATAAAAAGTATAACCATATATATGTATATTGTCTTGAAATATAAATTTTGATTTGTACCCAGCTTAAAAAAGATTTATACATTTTATCTGCCTCATATACTGTTATAACAATTTTTCCGAAGCATGTAATAAACAGAATATTACATATAGACTTCTCCGTTTTAAATTTACTTCGGAGTTCTGTGTTTCTGTTATACCTTTCTTTAACAGTTGCATCAACTTTATAATCAATTTTCATACTAGAAGAGCTAGTTATAATCAGTTTTCACGAAATCTATTGATTTGATAATTATATCAAAACGTAACGCTGTTATATCTTGATATTAACATTTTGACATTAACATATCTGCGTTTGGCCTTTCCTTTTTTTTTTTTTTTTTGCTCCTTTTTTTATTCTTCTCTCTATCTTGACTTAAAGTTGACGTTTATTAGCTCGAGAGAGCAAACTGTTTGCTTTTTACGTATACTTACCATTAGTATTTTTTTGTATGTTGAAAATCGATCATTAACAATAATTTCATCAAAATCTATAATCGCTACAAAGGCGAAACCCTGTAAAAATTCTTTACATGAATACACTGCTACCTGTTCATCGTGAGTGCTTTGATGGTAATGCCATTTTCTAGGCGTAAATCCTCGATCTAAAAAACAAAAGATGTAATCAATCATAATTCGCAGAATCCAGTACAAAACGTCTTAATTATTAAGTAGTTTTGATATGCATTTATTGGTTATTTTAGTAGTGTATTAAAACTGCGTGCATAACTATTGCTATACGAGTCCTATTAACAAAGATAAAAGGAACAGAAAAAGTCAATTCGTCCTATTATTTTTTTAAGTATGACAAATGTGGGTCGCAAACAAAAAAACCGGTCTCGAGTAATTGTCCCATTATCATATCGATGTTATATTTTTACTGGTCATGTTGAAACGTTTTGGAGCTGTGTTTAACTAACAGCAACAGTAATCGACAAACATTTTTTAAGTCGTCACTTTTATCAAATAATAAAAGAAGCAGAATACACCATGGAGACGATAAAATGGAAAAACGAAAAACGAAGGAAACACATTCATCAGTCCACAAAACAGTGAACAGGAAATCAAAGAGCAACACAATTAAGGTAGGTTTCCATATATTGAAGGGTACATTTATCTTGTTCTTCTAGTGGAACCTTGGTATTATTCATGACAAATATAACTTTGCTAATAAATTGAAGTCATCTAACAAAGATAACGATAATGTGAAGTACAGATATTCCACAATGGTCAACCAACTCTTGATGACATTAGTATAATTTTCAAGGGTTTGCCCTCAACTTTACCGCATGAACTCTGTGTACAAAAGCTTCCTTGTAAGCAGCAACTTTCTATCATAGAGATAAAGATAAAAATCGCAAGCTCTGGAATATTGTCTCAATTCGGTAATATACACTCCCAGACACAGCTGTAATGAAACTACATACATCTCGAAATGTAAATGCCACAATTGGAAATCTGGTTTTTGTTTCTTGTCGTAAAAAGTAATTCTCAACCTATTCTCATTTTCATGTTTTAAATGAAAGTCAACATATGAATCAGACATAACTTTTAACTCAAATTCATTTAGATGAATGCGTTCAATACAGCTTGTAAGGTTTGATGTATTCAGTTGGAAGATGTTACCTAGTATCTATCTATATAACGATGTGACCTTCAGGGATAATACTAGCGTATACATTTTCTTCCAAATACATTTCTGTATGAAATTCACTTCATATGAATAAACAATTTTTTCTCCATTAGATCTGCAAATTTTGTGTGAAACACAATTTTCAAACGTAGCAAACATTTTGTTATTTTGTTGTATTGTTTTGAAGCCTGTTGTTTAATAGAAAAACAAAGGATACAAGGTATCTATCCATGACACAAAATCAGTAAATGCACAGCAAAAAAAAATTAAAAAAACAAAAAAAAAAAGCAAGGGAACAGCGCTTTCATTGCTGTTCCTCATCTTAAAGTACAGTTTGTTTTTTGTCGATCTTTATATGTTGCCATGATCTTGTCAGCCTTTCCTTGACTAATGATTTTGATTCTCTCTTTTATATCTCCCGCCTCTTCTTATAGTGATTGAATTAAACACCTGAATGATACACTCGGCAAATTATTATAGAGAACAATATGACTTGACATTTTCGAAAGTGAATTTGATAAATAATCAAATTTAAAAAAAGCGTTCTTATTTCGGGTATTAATGAAATGCTTACCTAACTCTCCGGGCATTTCATTTGGAAAATAAATGAGTTTTGCAATTCCTTCTCTTTCATAATATTTTAGCACTTTATAAGCATCTTTGTTTAAGGACTGTAAAGATATGAGCACCGTATCTACATCCATCATTTTTTGATATTCGAACCACTCAATAAGGTGTAATGGATTTAAATAATTGTAGGCTATTTTTGCACATATTCCGAATCCATTGACTTTTATCTCTGGATATAACACAGGATGACGATTATATGAAATACTACAAGATTCCATTTTTCCAAGTAATTGTATGTTTACAATCTTAAAACCCATTTGTTTAACAAAACATTGGAACTGTCTTGCTATTAAGTTAGTGAATTTACTGTTGTGAATGTAGGTTTCTTTGACAATGGCATTTACACGATGAATAGGTGTTCCTTGGTATCCATATATACAGCAGTCACAATTTGAATGTTCAGATCCGTCTAGGACGTTAAGAACAATACTTTCTATATAATTCCATTTTGTTTTTGCTTGTGCTACTGCAGAGAATATATGTACAGTTTCATAACAAGATTCAATATTCTGAAATGAAATAAAATCCTGGAAGGTAACAATTACAAACGACTTGTTTTTTCTGTTCAATGTAAATTAAGCTTTGTGATACAAGTATCGGACAGTACATGTTCAGGTAATTAAGAAACGACAACTAGCGGTTAATGAAGTACCGTTAAGAACGTGTTTGTACAAATCAGTACATCAATAGATTCAACGTCTAGTACCATTTAGTGCAATAGAACAATATAAGGATTGCTTCCCTTTGAAGAGCAGAGGATCTTAAAGAAATCGAAATAAACTTATTAGTAAAATAATAACAATGAATGTTTAAATAAAAAAATAAATATATGTATAAAAGAAGAAAAAACAACAAAACAACAGACAATCGGCAACTGTATTTTTCGTTTACATGATTTATGAGTTCCGTGATTATTACTTTAATAAAACAATGATTTGTATACAAACTTACTTTTCTTGATATAAAAAGCAAGAGTTAAAATTATTTTTTATTGAAATAACAATAATCAAATCAATTTTCTATGTTAAGAATGTAAGACTTTCGTATTCGGCGTTGGTCATTCGTTACAGTAATAATGATGAAGAGTCCCGATAGCTTCCGAAAATACCCACGCTATTAATTCGCGCCATTTTTCATTTAATAATATTTGCATGCAAAAGTCTGAAAGCATTTAAAGAAGTAACGTAAGTACATTTCGTTGAAGATACGTTTACTATCTTAATTTAGAAATATTGCTGAGCTGTACAAGAATGTTTGTTTGATATGCAAAATAATTCCTATGATCATTCATAATACCGACAAACATCTACCAAGCATTTTCATTAAAAGGGGGGTTTGTATACAGCTGTTTCATCAACACCCTTAGTGTTTGTCGACGATAATATTTAAACACAAGCATCGACATATATGCGTTATTATCTGTAATTCATACAATTTCTATCTTCTCTTCTCTGGTACACAAGTGTAAATTTTGTGAAAACTGCAGTGACAATTTTAGATGTCGATTAATGGACTATTCATCAATTAATAAACTATGATGATGACTCTGTTGGTTTTATATTATTCACATAATAGTGTGTACCGCACTATCATGGACTGGGGCTTATCATCTGCACTTAAGCCGTTGGCTAAGGAAACAAGCACACTGTTATTTCCTTCTATACCTTACTGATGCTTACAGTTACTTCTCTATTCATTTGAAATGATCATTTTATTCTGACTAAATGTATACCTTGACATTTTTGTTAAGTTATATCATTTTTCACTTTCCTTCCGGAGTCATTAGAGGTGTAATACCACCAAATCATAGTACGTCACATCCGGTTGCATACGAAAATAGGTCGAAAAAAATATTCCCTTGAATTTGACAGTTGTAGGTAATTGATCCTACATTTCATTGCAGTAAAACATTTCTGAGTCATAAACATATATCTTGGGTATTTTAAAGCACCATTATTTCTTTATTTGGGGTTTCTATAGAATATTTTGGAAACTTGAGGTTACATGGTTACTAAAGCTTGTACACAGGTTAAAAAAGGGGAAAAATTTGATTGGTTAACTTCCAGTGATGATTATTTTCTTATATGCAATGAAATGTTATGTGAAATTTTTTCTATAGTACTGGACAGGATAAAACTTTACTCATGCCAAGTATTTCTTTATTTGAAGCAAAGATAAATTCTGCACAATATTTTGAAAAGTGCAAATTTAACAAAGACTAATAGGGAAAAATCAATGGTTGTATTACACCTTAAAGAAAATATATTTTATGCAGTTTTGCAGATATATGTTGAATGACTGACAGTAGTGAGTGAGTGTGCAAAAAATAAATTGTTTTATATATTTTATCTAAAATGAAATGGTTTTCTACCAATTAACAAACTTTCATTTTTTGGACAATTCAGAGTTGTTTAAAGCTTTGCAGTAGGGTATAGATTTGGCTCATTGTTGAAGATTGACAGTGGTTGTGGTGACCAATAGTTGATAACTTCTACATCATTTGGTCTCTGATGGAGAGTTTTCTTATTGGCTGTCATACCACATTTTTTACTTTTATATTCAACTTTTAGACATAACGTCGACAGAAGTGTCAGAATGATATATACATCATGTACATTGTATGTAAACAATTTTCATAGTCAGAGACTTGAAAATTTCTCCATAAAAGCATCTGGCATTAAGGAGTTAGAGAAGACTTGTTATTGCAGAGTCATAATAACTTGTCTGATAGTAATGTTTTTTCCTGCCAACTGTATATACTGTACCTGAACTAGCATATACAAAATCAAGCTCAGCATGTCAGTCTGGTACATGTTCAAAGCAGGGTTAGTGTTCATATGTCATTAACATTTTCTCATCCTGAATATGCATTTACATGTAATTGTGATACTGTGATTTATTATATACTAAGCATCAATAAGATATTTTAGAGTACATTGTATGTGAAACGTGAGGAAGTAAACAAGCCATAAAAAGCGACAGAACTTCGACTTTAACAGTGCTTATTTGTTTTCAAAAGGGGAGGGGGTTCGTACCTGGCTACGGCTGTGATGTCTGACACATTTATTAGTGTTGATTTTTGGGCAGTCAAATTGCATTGACCATATTCATATGTGATATACAGTTAGTCACTGACTCTATATGGTCATGTTTATGACATTGACGATGCGTTTCATTTACAGGTATGACATCATTACAGAATACAGGTTTTCAGAAATATTTACTTGGTCGGCTTCAAATTCAAAAATGATGATTTCTACCACAAATATTTACAGCTGTATTTTTGTAATAGTTGCTGTATAAAAAGTATAACCATATATATGTTTATTGTCTTGAAATATAAATTTTGATTTGTACCCAGCTTAAAAAAGATTTATACATACTGCTATAACAATTTTTCCGAAGCATGTAATAAACAGAAAAATATTTTATATATGTCCTTTTTAATATCGTCCCAGGTATCATCCCCATATTTGCTTTAATAATAAAAAAATCAACTAACATCTCAGGATGATACCATGGCCAGTATGGAAAAAGGCCACATACATTAATAAATTGTCTCTTATTTTTTATATATACAAATATCATGAATATACTGAGGCCGTTAGTTTTCTCAATTGAATTGTTTAATATTTTTCATGTGGGGACCTTTTAAAGCCTACTATCATGACTATATATACGGTATTGATTTTTCTCATTGATGAAGGCTGAACAGTTGCTATAATTGCTTTCATCCACTTCATTTAAACTTCAGGGGATAGTTATCTAATTGGCAATCATACCACATCTCCTTATTTTTATTTTATTATTAGTTTATACAAGTATATTGTATATTTTACTAGAGCACACACCCACCAAATTGCCGAGTTTTCTCTGGTTTCAAAATCGTTTTATTTGAACGCGTCCTGGTTTCTACATGTTTTATATTTTTCATTTTTTCTAAGCAATTACTTTCGTGTTATGGCATATAGCCATCTTTAATCATGTGACCGGGATCGATCAAGCCAAAGTTTTTTAGCAGATAAAATTGATTTCTTTTCTGTCATTCAAAAAATCCTCTGTATGTTTTCTAATGGAATACATATGTACATTTATTGAAACAGTTTAAAAACAACAGTGGGTTTGTGAAGTTTCAACATATGATCTTATAGATGTATTTTGTATTTAAGAGGACAACCGTTTGACTAATCAAAGAACGTAGAAGGCCGAGTGAGAAAGTGCATTTTCTATACCTTCGATTTCCTTCTTGATGTTTCATCTATATGTTCAACATATAAGTTGTTGATTTAATATTGAAAATTTGACTGTATTATATCCTATAGATACGGTTTAATGTTAATGTTTCCGTTTTGAAAGAGGACAAGCTGCTCTTGTTATTTAATAAAATCTTCGTTCATTCATAAAATTATCGTAAAATCACTACGCACTTTATAGTAATGTAAACATCAATATCTCAATACAACGTCAAATGTCATAATGACCCTACACAATGCACGACCATCGTCTTTTCATTTGATGGTTTTAAATAGATCTCTCTAGCATAGACTGTTTACCAGTTTGATCGTTGGCTCTCTCTTATTGGGCTGCATTGCAAACATGCTAAATTTGGAACTTGTTTGGAAAATCGGAATTGTACAAATCGTGATCATGGCAGATGAATTTTCATCTGGAAGAAGGTTCTCGCATAGCCTCAGAAGAAAAGCACGGCTGATTTACAAAATTGAAAGATACAGTACTGAAATAATACGCTTGTCTTATTTCTATTACAATGCCCAACTAGGAAAGAAGTTTTGAAAGAAGAATTAAACAGTTAAAAAACAACAGAAACAAACAGGAGTGTGAATGACTTCTTTTGTACTGCATGCATGTTTTAAAGATATTTGAATTACAATCCTATGCAGCAAATCGTCAAGAGAATTGACAATGACTTGAAACTTTAAACTGTTAATTTAATTTCTTTATTTTGAAATCTGTTGCATTTTTTACACAATTAAGTCATTAAAAATGAAAGGGGTTAAGTGTTAGCCAGTTCTTAGATAAATTTCTGAAGCCGGTCCCATCTTCAATCATTAATCAGTATGTACAAATGTATGCATGCATGATTGATGTAAAAAAGTATAGTTCAGTTGAACACTCGTGCCAGGAAAGAAGAAAGTATCAACTTAATGGCTGAATTTAAACCAATTATGATATAATTGTCTTTGTGCAAAGCAATAACAGAAGATGTTTGCTGGAGTAAACGTCAAGAAGAGACACACAGCAACAAAAATCGTCAAGCGGCAACCGGATGGCATCAATTTACAGACCTATGTAATCCATCAAATTTTAAATCGCCACGATTCTATAAAAGTTGCAAATACATTTAACAAAAACGATTTAAAAATTCATTTACCACTACTAAATTGTCCAAATAACGAAAACAGAAGATCGACAACTTTCTGAACTTGTACATGGACATGTGGTGGAACATATTATTTTTTTTAGATATACCAGAGGCGATTTATATAGT